TGCTTTCTTCAAGCACAAACTTGTTGAGAACTGTGCAATTCTGTGCCGACTCAACTGTTGTCCTTGTAACTCAGTTTCTCCCCACCTCAACTTTCTTAAAAGCTGAGTAGTCAGCTATTAAATTAGTCCCACCACTTATAAAGGGGTTTTCTCACACTGCTTAGGATCTAGTCAGGATGGCATTATTGCATTAAATATGGTTTTAGGTTTTCTTGGTCTAATGTCAACAATCTACTACTACATATTAATAACCAATATTAGAATAAGAAAACACAGAAGAGGTATCTTTTCATTTACTGTTTATTATAATACAAGAAAAACAAATCTAGAAAGCACATTTCACGGAGCACCATATTGTAACAAAATTTTGCTGGCTCTCCTACAAAGCGCGGTTTTTGACATTTAAACAATGACACACACATAGTCAGTACACACAGGCATCTACACCCTGGCGGTCTTCTTAGCGGCCCCAAAGAGACTCCTCTTTCAAACACAGAGACACTAAGGTGCACAGAGGAATGCCAGTGTGAGGGCATCTGAACGCCAACTGAGTTAATGACTCTTTTGTTAGCGATCTTCATGGGCACACAGGCTTTCGTTGTCTCACCTCAGTCTCTCTTCTCTGAGGGCTCCAAATTGGGCCCAGAGGTCGTTGAATATGAATCCAGCACAGACGTGGTGTAGAGTTGAACAAAACTGGCCAATATTCCCTACCTGATACTTCTTATTGCTTTGGTTATAGTACTGAATGAAAGTCTTAAAATCTCTTGAACCTACCCTCCACATCACAGAAAAGCCACTTGCACACATACAGAAACATAACCTCCCTCCCCACACACAGCTGAACGCATGGAGCTGTTACCTCTTTGAGAAGTTTTGTGGGTTTCCCCACCAAGATCACCTTCATAAAAATGATTGCATTTTGTTTTTCATAGTGTTCAGACAGTTGTTCAACAATATATTTCATAATATATTTCTTTCTTTTTCATAGGGCATGTTTTCCTGCTGCCTTAAATTTATGTCATTGTCTACGCAAGCAAGAGCAAAACGCTATCGTTTTCATCTGTACAAAATTTTTTACATTCATTTTATACAGTGCTAAATAATGATGCTAAGCACAGAACAATGTAGAATGATAGCCCAGAATAGCTTTTTACCTTGCTCAAAATGAGGAAGTACTGGAAGTTTCCCATACTAACGTTGAGACACAGTATTGGGGTCTCTATTATATACAGTAGCCTTCCAGAATAGTTTCAGGCACCTATTTTGTGAGCTATTGCTCAAGATGTATATCACACTGAAGCACCTCAAGTAATACGGTTTAGTGCCCTCGAACAGTGAGAATAAGAGAAAACAGGAAATCCAGCCTCACAGCAGACCAGACCGACTGTGAAGTACGATGCTAGCAAGGTAGCAAAATTTCTGCCTGGACCCAAAATAACCCACTGTTACAATAATTTTGGGTATCTGACACATGGCCGCTTCTATCATTAATGGAGCTTAATGCATGAAGTTTAATTTAAAACCATGTCTATGAAATATTTAAAGTTTGTCAACAAAACAAATAATAAAATGAAGAGCTTGTGCTTCTATCAGCCTCTTACAGAAGATATTTTTTCCTCTAAGCCCATTTCTCTTTGAAGTACTTCCCTTGCTTTCTGACCACAAATTTTCCGGGGAAATTTAAGGATTTGCAAAATGTATTTCTGTCTTGATAATCATCGAGGTTGAACTATCTTTAAGTAAGTTTTGGGCAGGGTAATGCATTCATGTTGCCAAGAAAGAAATGAAGTTATTGTGTATTTTTTCTTGTGGAAAATCCTTGTGGATTTCCCATTGACAGGAGCCAATTTTATAATTCCTTTATACTGTGTGATGAATAGGCATCTATGAATAACAAGGCAAAATGATGGAAATTCAAAAGGAAGGAGAAAATGGACTTGAAAAATAGCTGTAACTTTAGATATGCAAAGGGGCATTAACTAACTGAATCACTAACTCAGCCTTTCTCCTCCAAGCTAAAGGTATGTTTCAACAGCTGTGCTAAACATTTGGCTAGCATTTCCCAGATAAACAGTTCAGACCTCAACTCTATGATGTTGAAAAGTAGAGAGAAAGAAAAGACTGACTAGTTTCTGTTTTACAAAGGCTATGGAGTTGCTGTGGATTAATAACGTTTCAGATGACTTAAGAATAGGATATAACAAGGAAAAGATGTTGTGATGGGTATACCAATACCTGTTTTCACGTGGAGTAATGTCTACAGTTTTACTCACTTGAGTAAAAGGACAGTAGGAAAAACACAGGAGCTTCAGAGAGAGGCAAAGAATATGTACCTGTATAAGAATGTGAATTACTGTTTGGCTTAAGAAACAAACAAAAGGTGTGTACATTTCTATGTAGAGTATATAATCACTGGCATACAGAAGAAAAATTGAGATCACTCCTGTTTGTACTGTTCTAGCACACAAGAGCAAGAGATGAGAATGACACTGAAAAGAAGCTAATTGAAATCTGAAAAACTACCTGGATTTAGTTGGGGTTTTGTGTTCTTAAACATGATGTTCTTTGATTTTAGTATTCCCCACCTCAAGAAACATTCAGATCTCAAAACTCAGGATCAGCCTCTCATAGAGATGATGAAACTTAACAATCACATTAGACAAGAAAAAAATTATAAGGGCTGAAGCTCAGGTAAATTCCAGAAGAAATTATTGCACCTTCCCCTGAAGCATCCGATACAGTCAGAGGTAAGACACTGGATTAAATAAACCACGTAGTTTGGCTCTGTTACTGTTTCTATAATATTAGGTTTAAAAATTTCAGTTATATATCCCAGTTAGTCATGAAAATGTATAACAATCTTCCACACTAAGAAATGAGTTGCAGCAACATTAGTGAATGGGAGGACAGAATAATAACTATTATTATTGGCCTTAGGCACCACTTACGAGTGCATGCACGTATATATACACATGTATAAGAACATGTTATACATATAGATATGAATACATATATGAATACATACATAGACACACACAGACACATGCCTTCTGAGAAGTGGGGTTCATCAGAAGGCCTGAAGATCTCTTTGCACCCTTCTCTGACACACATTAGTAAACTGTGTGAGTGTGTGTGTATATGTTTAACAGCGTGTGGAGGAAAATGTGAGAAGGAAGGGAAGCATGAACCTGAATATGGGAGAAATCACTCATGTTACTGTCATTATTTCAGATCTGTGCTTGAAAACGCATTTCCAAATACCTTGTACATTGGCTAAATCGATTAGCAGCCAAGCAAGAAGAAATACACAACATTAAAGGGACATTGTGGAAATTACAATATTTGTCTATGTATTTTCTGTTCTTTCCCATGTTAGTATTATTCCTGACATATTCCTGACACCTGCAGGAGGAGAAATTAAAAGAACTAATTTGATTTTTGCCACTTAACCTGTTTATCTGTTTCATGTTTCTGCCAAAGTTGAGAGAAAACTTGAATAGTCCGTCTCTTTATGGGTTTTCATTTATCAGCTCTGCTGGATTAGCTCATTGTAAACTTGCCTTTTCATCAGGTGTGGTTAAATAATTTTAGTTTTAGAAACACTTAAACTTTATGTGTACTTTACGTTGACAGCATCTCTTTAAACAGAATTAAGAATTCCTTGAACCCATTCATATGAAGATTCTGCCATCTTTTCCACTTATTCACACTAATTCACACTATTTGTCCTCCCTGTTTCTCTGGGAAGGCTTCCGAGAACAGGAGTGAAACCAACAGACTCTCACCTCATCTGCCAGCAGAACTGCAGCGAATCAATTCTGAGGCTGCAAACAACCTAACTTCCAGAGAAACTAATCTAGCTGTAAACTAGTTGCAGGTATCTAAGATAGCAAAAATCAGCGTGATGACATTTAACGGGGGTAAATGACAGGGTAGGTTTCCATTTCAATGAGGTAACGTTGTGTATAAGTTCCCCCAACCCCAAAATACATCTGCAAGGTCGTTATCTCAAATAAAAATAAGAGAGAAATAAGTTATTGTCTAAAAGACTAGAAATGAAATTACCTTTAACTCTATTGCTAGACAGAAAGAGATCAGGGTGGGTAAAGAAACAGAGAAGAGAACCAGAGAATATTGATAAATGCATGTCATCAAGTCTGAGAACCTGGTTAGCATCAGCTGAGTTTTGTCTTGTGATGCACACCCTAGATGGTTCTCAGCGTTTTGTTGCAAATAGTCTAGGTTTTGTAGTTTTCAAATTGTAATGGGCTTTTTTTGATCACCTTTGTCTTTTTGGTCCAACACCATAGGTTTTGCCATCTTTCTCAGCAGGCACAGGCCTGCATGCTGGATCCAAACACACAGATAGAATTATATCGTTAATATGCTGTGCAGAGGTGTCCATGGAGAGTACAAATACCAGCATACAATGTTTCACCTTGATCTGAGCAGCCAGTCTGCCCGCGCGATGCATTGCATGGTGGTGCCTGTACCTCTGAACAACAAAATCTCTACTGAGAGAGAACGATTGCCACACTCCACTGCATATCTATGCAAAGTCATTGCAGGGCCGCTGGCTCCTCCCAGGACTCTTGCATTGGCCACAGGAGGGTAAAGAAGCTTTTCTGATGAAATGCACGGCCTTGCCTTTCCATGGATTGGGCTTTCCATGGATTGCCTTCCGAGCAGCGACGCTTCGGGCTCACCCCAGGCCCAACGCTTCATGAGAAGGGCTACTGGGGGACAGATCTAATCTCACCACTCTGCCAGCTCGCCAGCAGCACCTTTTCACACAAGCCTCTTCACCTCTTCTGCCCCATTGCGAGTGCAGGAGTAGGACTTTTTTCCTACCATAATGTTTCTGTGGAGTTAGTGTTTTGTTTTCTTTTCCTAGTTAATGTTCGTTTGACCTTGTTATCAAATGAGTTCTCCTGCAATCATCTGAAAGGCCTTATTCAAACCAGCATATGTTTTCTTTTCTTCCCTTTTACATCACCTTAAAGGGACACATCTGTTGACACAGCTTCTTGCAGAGGATGGATTTCATCTTTTGCTGAAGTTTTGTTCCAGCCAAAGCCGAACCTCCTGCAGATTGTAGAAAAAGGGGCCTTTGCCTCCCAGGTAGGCAATTTTTTGTCTCTGCACAATGCATACTCGCTCAAATGAAACCCCATAGGCCACATTGGCATTGTTGTCCATGCAGTCAGCCACCACTTGGCACTGAGGTGGCAAGGAAAAGCGCTCTAAGAGCTGGTGAGCAGCTGCGCATCGGTCTTCCTGGTTCCTGTGTTTCTTGACTTCAAACGAAGAGGGAGAGATTCCAGGGGCAGCCCAGCCATCTGATGGGTGAGCCTCATCGATGTAGACCAACAGAAAGTCAGCCACACCAGAGAACTCTTCCACCAGCTTGCTGAAGACTGACAGCTGGCTCGTGAACGGCGGTCAGGTCGCTGAACCAAAGTTGACCACCAGCGGCCGCTCGGAGTTGGCAAAATCCAGAAGGTGGCATTTGGTTCCACACTTGCCACTGACGCTCTCCCAGCTGCTACTGCTGCCATCGCTGCCCTTGGCTATGTGGATTACACTGGAGTTTGGGGCTTCTCCTCCCAGTTTGACCTGGTGGCAAAACAAATTAAAACACAGCAAGTTAGTGTGACTTGCTTCTCCAGTATCCTTATGACTACTCTCTTCAAATAAACAGCATCACCTGTTCAAAGAGCACACCTAAATACCCGCATGGACAATAGCATGGGAGCATAACAAATCATCAAAAGCAGCAGCTTCAAAAGTTCATCCAGTCCATCCCTACTCACAGTGCAGGGAAATATGGCAT